CAGAGCTGAATTCTCCTCAGTTCTTCAAAAGTATATGGGGCAAGAGGAACGGGTGAGTCGTAATCATCAGGGTCGGTTTCTTTTGGGCTTTTATCAGCAGAGTTAAGACAGCCTCTCCCCCACTACGCACACCACCTTCCTTAGTCACAGCAACCTATTGTACGTTATCTACATTCGCTCCAATTTGCGGTCATTATCAACACTTTCTCTCTCGATCGGGGGGAGGGGCGGTGCCCATTCACTCATGTGCCGATCTTAATACAAAGTGGACCATCGTGTTCAGGGACCTTATTCAACTAATGCACAATTCTTCAGCCAATTCTAGAAGTCCTAATGAACTCGAATTCTCACGACAGAATGCCTGATAAGGTCTCCTGAGGATTTTCTTGGCCTCCGCCCCTTTTCTAGCAAGCCACGCCCTCTTTCAGCTCTAGTGTCAATCCAATCCCAATGTCATCATCATCATTTTTCCTCAATAATCCCGCGCCTAGTCGAACGAAAGCATCGACTGTGTGTATGTTATTTGAAGTGCTCATCAAACACTGTTGCCATTTCAAAAAGGGTAATATGGTCTGGGCCGGCAAGAATTGTCGGCTCGGCTATAAAAAGCAGGATCGTTCATATTGGATGTTGTAGAGCTCGCCGAGTTCTACCATCAGGTATGTTGTTCTGCTCACAATTTTCATTTTGAAGCGAGTTATCTGACGACCCGTGTTGGCCCGGATTCCAAGTATGCAAATTGTTCTATATTAACCTTCATAAGTGGTAAATTTTCATTTTCATTTTATTTAGCAACAAGTCTAAGGTTGATTATATTATCAGAAGTCGAAACGCTCTACAAATCACTTTGATTCGTCAGAAAATCGGAACCGAGCTGGTTGGAGAATGGAAAGGCCGGTACTTAAATGCTAGATATCTTGTGCATCCCAAAAATCCAAATTTAGTTCTTGAGTACGCATGGGATTCTAACGTATTCTATGTTAGGTTCCTCACCCTAGAAGAGTTCCACTGGAAACTTGGATTGCACTAATGACATTATGACGACGCCGGTAGCACATTGCTAGTGCATCAGACGATTTTTTCTATATTTTTTTTTCTATGTTTTCTCTAAGCTATATTTTCTCATTTCTGGTCGAATATCTCCAGTACCTTCATGAAATTTTTTTTCTTAATAAAGTTTTTCTCAACATCACAATCCTCTCTATCGAAATCGTATTTTTGAAAATATTCGCTCTATTGAGATTGTTAATTTTGTAAAAAATGCATATTCGCTCTATTGTTATCTTGGCGGGAAATCTCCCCCACAAAACCACCTGCCACGTCACAATTGGTAGTCTTAATCCACTTGACCTAGGACCACTCCATCCTCTACCTTACTATTCGCCTTAGATTCCTCAGAACGACGTCACTCTTAACCTGTCTGTCATTTGATTATCGTTTTCCACAAAATGAAACTCTGGAGATTCTTCCCAATTCTTGTCAAGGAAGAGGTTCTGAAGAGCATGGATCTATCGGATAGGTTAGTTTTTTTCATAGACTTTTACTGACTACATAAGCCAATAATCTAGTAAGTATGTTTTCTTCCAGGTTATCTTTCTCAAAATGCTCCAAAAAATGCTGGAATCTGGTGAGCCGTGTTCCAAGTCATGTGAAAATGTTCAAAACTCCTAGCCACAATTCATATCCTGTTCTGATCACTAGTCGAAAATCCACAATCCAAAATCTCATAGTGAGCATTTACAGCCCCTCAGATAAGTATCTGGCTGATCGGTTTTTCGAGATACTGTCCTCTGAAAAACGGAATTCGATAAAAGTGACTAAACTAACCATGAACATCAATCAAGAATATTCGGATATGTACAAGAAGTTCATTGATTTTTGTGATCCAAATTTCATAGAATCTATAGAAATTGAGGAACTAAATTCACAAGAGATCTATGAGGAGATTCTGAAAACACCACAATGGAAAAACAGTCGAAAAGGGTCACTGAATTGGGATTTCGACGGATTGTTAAAAGTCAATATTAATGACTTTCTGCATTTCAAGTCCATCAGATTGAGAATGGAGCAATTGAGTGCCGAAGACGCAGAGAAGTTGGTACAGGTAAGCAAAATGGTAGATACTCAACTGCCATAAGTGCTATTGTCTCATGTGCTATATTTAGCTCTTTTGCTATGGATCAACGTCCCTAGTTGAGACATAGCAGTTGAGTCATTGCCAAATTACTTTATATGCTCAATTTTCAGAACTTTGTTAGCACCGGATCTCAAGATGATCGTATTGCTATCAGGAGTCAAAATCCTACTCAAATCGATTTGATCCGTCGGAAAATCGAAACCGAGCTGGTTGGGGATTGGAAAAACCGACCCGTAGATGGCAGATACCTTCGGCATCCAGAGAATCCACATCTAATTCTTGAATATTTCTGGTGGCTTGACGTGTTCTTTGTTGAATTTTCTGAGGTAGAAGAGTTCAATATGAGACTTGGTGTGTTCTGAAGACATTGTGACGGCGCCGGTAGCACATTGCTAGTGCATCAGACTGGTATTCTAAGGACGCGGGTTCAATTCCTGCCTGGCGTCAATGATTTTTTCTATACTTTTTTTTCTATATTTTCTCTAAGCTGTACCTTCATGAAATTGTTTTCTTAATAAAGTTCTTCTTATCATCACAATCCGCTATATCGAAATCGTATTTTGGAACGTTTTCGCTCCATTGAGATTGTTATCCAGATAACAAATGCATATCTGCTCTATTGTAATCTTAGCGGGAAATCTCCCGCCAGAAAACACCTGCCACGTCATTTGGCCTCCTTAATCCTCTTGACCCAGGACCACTCCATCCTGGCAAGTACCTTTACCTGACTATTCGCCTTCCATTCCTTAAAACGACGTCACTCCACCTGTCCGCCATTCAATTATCGTTTTCCACAAAATGAAAAAATGGAGGTTCTTCCCAATTCTTGTCAAGGAAGAGGTTTTGAAGAGCATGGATCTATGGGATAGGTTAGTTTTTTTTTTTCAAAATTTTTTAAATAACTACTTATGCGATTATGGAAATTAATGTCCATGAAAACTCATGAATAACCGCCTAACTAACTACGCCTAATCTTTCAGATTATCATTCTCAAAATGCTCCAAAAAATGCCTGAGCCTGCTTATCCGCATCCCAAATCATCTGGAATCTTTCACAATTCCTCACGGCACTCAATTTTTCCACGATGATATTTTAACTCTGACAGCTTGTCGAAAGTTCACTATTCAGAAGTTCGAAGTGGAAATTGATACTGCTGGTGAGAGGGATCAAGTGAATTATTTTCTCTTAAGACTGAAAAAAGTTCGGCGCTCTTTAAAAGTGAAAACAATAATTATGGAAATCATCTCTCGATATTAAGAGATTTACAAGAAATGTATCGAATTTTGTGATCCTACTTTCATAGAATCTATAGAAATTGAGAGACTAAGTTCACAAGAGATCTACAAGGACATTTTGAAAACACCACAGTGGAAAAACAGTCGACAAGTATCACTGAATTATGGAATATGGCTAAGAACTTTGAGAGTCAATATTGATGATTTCCTACATTTCAAATCCATCAAATTGAGAATGTTGGAACTGGGTGTCAATGACGCATTCAAGTTGGTACAGGTAAGCAAAGTTAATCGGTAGATACTCAACTGCTATGAGTGATCTTCTGCTATGTGGGAAGTACTATTGTCTCATGTGCTATGTTTGGCTCTTTTGCTTTGGATGAACTGCTTTTTTTGCCATGGCTTCTGTGCTATGGCTACTGTCTATCATACTGCAAAAACACTGCTATTTTCATCATGTTCATCAATAGTTAAGACATAGAAGTTGAGTAATTGCCAATTCATTTTATATTAAGTTAAGACACGTTCTCTGTGAAACTCGAGGATAGTCCTGTACAATAATTTCAAACCGAACCAAATCGTTTGATATTATGCATAGTAAGTATCCACACACTCACCAAAAAATTGAACATAATTTATTTAGGCTCCGCCCCTTTTTAGCAGGAACCAGGGCAGTTTCAGTCAAAAAATGAAAATTTTTCCTGTAAATTTTATCGACCAGATTATAACGGGAATCACTTGAAAACACTATTTTGACCATTTTTTCTCTTCTGGAGAAAATTCTAGCTCTTCGTCTTCATCCCGAAATCGGGCAAAATAAGTTATTTTTCCGGCTTTTTTGTGAAAAATGATGGTTTTCTCGCCGAAATCGAAGTGAAGCCAAAGATATTATTTCATATTATGAATCTACGTGCAATTTGGGTACGGACCCCCATAGTCTGGTCTCATATCGCGATCCCCTAAGTTGTGCAATTCACGTGCGAAAAAAAAGTTTGGTCGAAAAACCATGTATCCCATGGAAAAATGGACATGGAAAAATGGACAACCTTTCGGATTTCGATTATATTCATATTTTGGGCAGTACTAGTGGTCCACAAACCACACACAAAATATTACGTCTCCTCCTATCAATTGGACCGTATGGCAGTATATTGAAAAATCAGGCATGAAGAAATCTTTGATCAATCATAACTCGGTTAGTTTTTGATGAATTTGGCCGATCTTTTGTTTGTTCGACAGTAATTCGATTGAAGCACAAAAATGTCAATAGGACCGACATTCCACCATCTTTCACGGTTTTGCTATGCGTGGAAGTGTAATGCACTCTTTTCAACGTATCAATATTTTTACACTCGAATGTGATCCGTACCCAAATTGCACGTAGATTCATAATATGAAATAATATCTTTGGCTTCACTTCGATTTCGGCGAGAAAACCATCATTTTTCACAAAAAAGCCGGAAAAATAACTTATTTTGCCCGATTTCGGGATGAAGACAAAGAGCTAGAATTTTCTCCAGAAGAGAAAAAATGGTCAAAATAGTGTTTTCAAGTGATTCCCGTTATAATCTGGTCGATAAAATTTACAGGAAAAATTTTCATTTTTTGACTGAAACTGCCCTGGTTCCTGCTAAAAAGGGGCGGAGCCTAAATAAATTATGTTCAATTTTTTGGTGAGTGTGTGGATACTTACTATGCATAATATCAAACGATTTGGTTCGGTTTGAAATTATTGTACACCAGCAAAGTGACTCTACCTCGAGTTTCTCAGAGAATGTGTCTTAATTATTAACTTAATTTTCAGAATTCCGTTAACGCCGGCTCCCTAAATGATCGTATTTATATCAGAAGTCTAAATCCTATTCAAATAGATTTGATCAGCCAGAAAATCGAAACCGAGTTGGTTGGAGAATGGAAAGGCGTGGGACACTATGATGATAGATACCTTGTGCATCCAAATAATCCAAATTTAGTTCTTGTGTATGCATGGGATTCTAACGTGTTCGTTGTTGGATTCCTCACTCTGGAAGAGTTCAACAAGAAATTTTGGTTGTTCTAATGACATTATGACGGCCCCGGTAGCACATTGCTAGTGCATCAGACGATTTTTTCTATACTTTTTTTCTATATTTTCTCTAAACTGTTGTGCAAAAGCAGCATTTCTTTTCAAATAAGGAGGAGATATCCAGCACCTTTATGAAATTTTTTTTATAATAAAGTTCTTCTTAACATCACAATCCGCTCTATCGAAATCGTGTTCTTGAACATATTCGCTCTATTGAGACTGTTAATTTTTTAGAAAATGCATATTCGCTCTACTGTTATCTTGGCGGGAAATCTTTTCCCGCCAAAACACCTGCCACGTCATTTAGCCATCTTAATTCACTTGACCTAGCACCAGACCACAGGTAAAGAGTGACGTCGTTTTGAGGAATCTAAGTCGAATAGTCAGGTAAAGGTACTTGTCAGTGTGGACTGGTCCTGGATCAAGAGGATTAAGGGAGTGAGAAATGGGCAAAGATTTTCCGCCAATAGTCTTAATAAAGCGCGTTTGCACTGTTTTTTCATAATTAGATGGGAAGGAGAACTCGAACTAAAATATAAAAGTTAACAATGCAAATACGCTCTAAAGATGAAAATTTTAATAAAACAAAAATCTGAAATATATATATATATATATGATTTTGCTATAGTAAAAATGTAGTACTTCAAGAGAACGGTAAATTTTTTTGTACGTCCAATTGTTTTCTCGGTTTCTACGCTCCATCTCACACGGACTTTTACAAATTTCATATTGCGTCTTTAAAATCTGACAGTAAGCCGCGCTTAAGCCGGAGGGGCGCGCACCATGCTTCCAGAGCACTTTTCTGTAATAACTTTCGATCAAATTCTGTCAATATTATATTCAACATGATGCGAAGAAAAATTTCTATTCAATTTGATTTTAAAAAAGCCTAGGCCCAAATTTTTCATTTTTCAACAAAATGAGAAAAATGCCTACGTATCGCTGAGTCGCCACGCAGTTAGCATGCGACCCTACAGTGAGACAGAGCCCGCGAATGAAACTTTTTGAAAGCACGTACAAAAAAAATTCACTGTGCAAGAATACTTGTGATATTAAGAAAATCTTTATTAGGATAAATATAAAATGCACAGATGATGTTCTTTAGCACAGGCACATTGAGCAAGTATGCATATGTTATAAGGAAAACAATCTCAATAGAGCGAATATGCTCAAGTTCACAAAAAATATCAGTCCAAATCCCAAGGTCGAAATTCGTCGAACGGTGTGCGAAATGAAACATTGAACATGTCGTCGTCATAAAAACATTCAAGAACCAGTTGTGGATTTTCGGGATGCGTAATATATCTAACAGGAGCATATGCCATGCCTTTCCAATCACCAACCAACTCGATTTCGATTTTCTGACGCATCAAATCGGTTTGAATAGGATTTTGACTACTGATATCAATACGATCGTCTTGAGATCCGGTGCGAACAAAATTCTGAAAAAAAAAATTTCTAAAAAAAAATTTTTTTCTGAAATTTTTATTTCTGAAAAAAAATTAATTGGGGAGAACTCGATGTCATTAGGAAAACTAGAATGGGCTGAAACTTGGTACAGTAGGTAAATAAGGCCCCCTGAACACGATGGTCCACTTTATTTTTCACTCCGCCCCTTTTCCAACTGGCCACGCCCTCTTTCAGCCTCAATTTTTTTCCCCGAAAAGCTATCGATGTCTACTCTTTGGGAATCAATAGAAGACACTTTCAGAAGCATTTTCACAGTTCAAACCAGGGTTGTGCGAAAAAAAAATTCAGAAAAAAATCGAAAAAAATTTTTTTTTTGAATTTTTCGGAATTTTTGGGTTCTACTTGGAGTCCATTTTCTGACGGTTCGAAAGGTCCAAAAACCAAGTCGCTAGCTTGATTTTGAAGCGGGTTATGCCCATAAAGAGCGAGTGAGAGGCGCCAGAGAAGCAGACAGTCGTTTTCTCTGCCGCCTCTCACTCTCTCACCTCCAACTTCAAACGCGCTTAACTTGCTTTAAGAATGAGCTTTTCAGCTGGTTTTTGGACCATTTTGAAGAGAATTTCATGGAGTTTCGGGACTACGGATGTGCAAAAAAAAATACCGAAAAACCGAAAAAAAAATTTTTCTGTGAAATTTTTTTTTCAACGAGTCACGCGAGATAATGTCAAAAAAACCG